TGGCCCCTTTACTCCGCCTAGTGGCAGGGGCTGGCCCTTTAGCGCGGTGCGTTGGGGCGGAGGTCGAGTCGCCTGGCAGAGGGGGACTTATGTGTCCGGGTCACAGTTCTATAGGCAGTCTCCCTCAGTTCACTCTCAGTGCCCCGTCACCTTTGCGGACAGCGCCAGAGACTGAGTGGAACAGGGCCGCCCGAGACCGCCTGGAAACTCGGCAGCAATATCGCTCTTTCTCTCTTTTCCGCCCTTTCGGAGGCGGGGCTTGCGTCCGCGGCTGGGACACACTCCGCAGATTCGGGAGAAAAAGTGCCTGCGCTACTCTCCTCGCAGGGCGCGACCGGCTCTGCCGCGGAGGCAGCCGCTATGACTCAGACCGATGCCCGGGCAACAAGTCCCCGCAGTCGCAGGCTTTGGGGTCCCCGAATTGCAGCTGCCCACCCACTGCTAGTCAGCGCTGAAGCCGACTGCACCCGGGGGGCATCCAGAGCCGGGGTCCGCCGTTGCCGACTCCCAGAGCTGCGTCCCAGGGCCGCCCACTGAGCCCGCCGCCCCCCTACACACCGCGACTCTGGACGGATCCGCGGGAGGACTCTGTGCTGTGTCCCTCCCAGCGCCCGCCGAACTTTCAGCCATTTCCACGGGCAGAACCTCTTTTCTGGAGTTCCCCTCCCCCGATCTAGTCCTGGCGGTCGCCTGTGGCAAGAAGCTGCCTCCAAACTCTCCCCTGTGGGCTGGGGCAGCGTCCGATCCAGGGAGCGCCCGCTCGGGCCGGTCCCTCCCCTCCGATGCCGACCCAGCGCCGCGCTCCGCTGCGTTCGAAATGGACCCCGCTCCTGTCTCGGCTCCCCACCGCTTGTCGGTCTCTGCTACCACATCTCACTGACTTCTGACACTTCCCTGCCTGCGCGGGAGTGGGCTTTGGTAGAGGAAGAGTCGCCTTCCTGTGAGTCAGATCTCACTGCCCGGGCCAGCCCGCCGCCGGGCGCGGCCATCCCGCGCTGCCCTCCCCCTTTGTCCCGCACTCTCCGGTGTTTGCAGGCGCTTCTCCAGTTCACCTTATTTTTTTCGCAGCACTGCTTGTCCCTTGCTGCTTCTCTGTAGATTCACGAAGCTGATCCTGCAGGGGAGCGCCTCACTCGCGTGTGGGTGTCCGTGCTCTTCACCTCCCACTCTGGGAGCAGAGAGCCAGGAGGCCACCCCTAATCCGCCATTTTCCCAACCCCCCAACAATTCAGTTTTTAAAAGGCAACAATTTGGGCACGCACTTTATAGTAATGATAGATGGCAAATAAGCACATGCTCAACATTATGAAGTCATTAAGGAAATGCAAATTAAAAGCACAATGAGTAACTCTACATACCAACTAGAATGGCTAAAATTGAAAATACCAAGTGTGGATAACAATATGGAGTTACTACAGCTCTGATGTTGGGCACATCCGTACGATGACATATTACTCAGCAGCTGCTGGTGCACACAGCCAAATAGATGAATCTTAAAAGCATTGTGCTAAACGAAAGAAACCAGTAATCAGACTGCTTGTGATTGACTCAATGTATGTGAAACTCAAGAAAAGGAAAAACTGCGGTGATGGGAAGCAGGTCAGTGGCTGCTAGAAGCCAGCAAATGGAGGAGGAACCCAGGGGCCTTTGTGTGGGGATGGAAACGTTCCCTAGCATGATGGTGGTTACTTGACTGTGTACATGCGTCAAAACTAAATTGTGTGCTTAAAATTGACACCCCCGAGCCCCCCCGCCAAAAAAAGTATCACAGGAGGTAATTTCTGTGAAAGGGCTCCAAAAGTGGGGAGCACATTACCAGAATTGAACAGTTTCCACAGTGCAGTTACAGACTAAGATCCCACGTTATGTTCCAAGCCGGGTTACCAGATGCCCATCCACTGAGCCGGTTCATCTGACTGTTACTGTTATTTTTCCAATTCCAGGAAATGAGAAGGAAACCTCTAGATTGGTGATGGTGTCAATTTGTTGAATATATGTTACATATAGACTGACTAGTTCTTTTTCTTTTGTCTTACTTGACAGGAGTGTGAAACCAAGTTTGCACAAGAGATAGCCAGTCTTTCAAAAGAGGATGTTTCCAAAGAAGAAATGAATGAAAATGAAGAAGTTATAAATATTCTCCTTGCCCAGGTGAGCTAAAACTCTTTTTTCTGTTTTGTAAGACTCTTAATGGTCATTTAAAAATTATAATCTGAGCAGCTCAACTACAGAAGTGTGAATCTTTTAACCAAAATTGTAAAACGGGTCCAGGTACTGTGGCTCACACCTGTAATCCCAGCACTTCGGGAGGCTGAGGCAGGAGGATTACTTTAGCCTGGGAGTTCGAGGTTACAGTGAGCTGTGATCCCAGCACTGCACTCCAGCCTGGGCAACAGACCTGTCTCTTAAAAAAAAATTGTGAAATGATTTAGAGAGACTGTGCTTGTTATTTTTGGCCCTACCTTTATGTCGTGTTTGCTAAAATGTTTGGCTGTAGAGGAAGAAACTCCCTTCTACTGAGTAATTACTGCTTACTGGGTGTTGTTCTAGGCGCTTTACTCAATCTTGTTTGGTCCACACACAGGTCTGAGCTATAGGTCTTGTCCCTAATTTAAAGATTAACAGTATTTGGTCCACATTAATGAGATCAGACTTTAATGAGTATTTTAAAACCTGTTGTTCTTGACATTGCAAAGTCTGGGATCCTTGAAATCTAATGATACAGATTTTAACTAGTAGTCGTTGCTAGGAACACCTTTTAGGTATTTTGATTTTATTCTTTGCAGGCAAAAGTCAATCGTTGGAGGCAAATTATCTTATTAATTCTTCATTGTCCCTCGAGTTACCTCCCAGGTGTAGAGCCGAAGATGAACTCATCTTTCTTTTTGAATTTCTCAAATCAGCCTCACTCTGTTCTGGAACTTCCCAGAGTTTAACCAGAAAGGAATGAAGTCTAGGCTCTGACAATATTATATCCATAAACTCATGTATGTGGTTTACCTAAAACCCTACATATTTCAGTCCTTTTCTGTCACTTCTAAAGAAAATGCATTGTTTTGTCTAGCGGGGACAGAACTGTTTTGCCCTGAGGAGAGAATGAAGGCCCAGGTTATGTGTTTATTTCAGAGTTGAAAAATTCTGATATTTCTTGGAATGTTAGCTTTAATAGGTATGCGGAAATAAAGGAATAACATCTGTGTGTTCAAAAACATTTGGGAAACACTGTATATTGTGTGTCTAACAGAGGTTCTTAGTGCTCCTTGGCGCCGTGAGTGGTTTATTTTGGAACGTGACCGAGGCATCTTTCAAGTTTAACCATAAGTACTTGTCCTCTCGGAACCTATTCATTTGGAAAGAGCCGTCTGCATCTGGCTCCCCACGTGCATAACCACGTTTCTGTTCCGCCCTGAGTTTAGCTGTGTTGGTTCTTTTCTCTAGGTGGGAGGGGTTCTCTAGATCTCGGGCAGATAGGGATTTTTTCCATTCTTTACGTAAGACTGGCGACCTAATCAGTTTCAGAAAAGGCTGCTCTGTTCGGGCAGAATACTTGCTGTTTAGACATGATCTCTGGGGACCTGGGCTGGGAGCACGGTGGCTCGTGGTGAGGAAGGACAGTCTCTGTGATGCTTTCTCTCACGCTGACGTACCTCGAAGGTGACGCTGACACAGCCACATGTCTCCTGGTTGTGGCACTGTCGAAGGCCACCGTGGCCCTAAATGCACTCGGTTTCCTGAGAGACGGGACAGCACTGAGGACAGACTGGGGGGCAGAAGCAGATTTCCCCGGACCCTGGCTGCCCCTGTGCCTGCAGGCTCACAGGGCCTTTGCAGGGGACGTGGGGTTGCTGCCAGCACTCTGCCGTTGAGAAAAACCTAGTCATCCTTCAGAGTAACTTTGTTCGCCTCCTTTCAGAGAAGCCTTTCCTTGACCCTAAGGAAACAGGACGCTTTCTGGGTGTGCGGTCCGTAACTCGCGTGCTCAGCACTGGGCGGGCTGAAAGATGCAGGGCGACGTGAGACTCCGGGAAGGTGACGTTTCCTGGACGACTGCTCTCAGAGGTGCTCACCAGTGGTCTTTGTTTAGGAGAACGAGATCCTGACTGAGCAGGAGGAGCTCCTGGCCATGGAGCAGTTTCTGCGCCGGCAGATCGCCTCAGAAAAAGAAGAGATCGAGCGCCTCAGGGCCGAGATTGCCGAAATCCAGAGGTAAAGGAACCCCGGGAGTTTTGAAATTTCGAAGAATGTTTATTTAGCTATACACACGATTGCTTCAGCTTAGACTTTCCTATACAATAGTCAGGCACCTGGAATTAATCTCCCTCAAGTGTCTCACTTACCAGCGTGGCGGTTCTCCCGGCCGCGTGAACACGTGCCCTGAGCCCCCTCCTCCCTCCTCTGTCACCCGCAGCCGCCAGCAGCACGGCCGGAGCGAGACCGAGGAGTACTCCTCCGAGAGCGAGAGTGAGAGCGAGGACGAAGAGGAGCTGCAGATCATTCTGGAAGATCTACAGAGACAGAATGAGGAGCTGGAAGTGAGTTTTGAGGGGAAATGGCCAAGAAGCATACCAACTTCTAGAAAGGTGTAGAGACCACCGTTGCCCTAGGAATTGTCCTCCTTTTCCTTGGTTACCAGCCGGGAGGCTGAGTGGAGGGGTTTGGGGAAACGTCGCACCCAGAGTGCGCGGGCCCCAGCGAGTCATGGCTTTTGTGCCTTCAGTGACCACACTGACCTTTCTCTTTGTAGCGTAAAGGTGAGCGTCACCTGACGGTGCCAGCATGAGCAGCTTTGAACGGTCTGGTCTCTGTTCCCAGAGAGGATGGACCGAAAAAGAAACGCCAGTGGAGGGAGCAGAGTCTCCTGATCTCCCTGTGGGCAAAGTGAGGGGCCTAGTGTGGGGCGGTGCTAGGAAACTGGGGGTCGCTGCACAGGGAGGAAGGCAGCAGGTCTGAAGGGCTAGGTCAGAGTTCTCCTCCTCACCCCCAATCAGACGTTGCCTCCGCATGTTTGCCTCAGCGTTGAGAGAGAGAAGACGTCCTCTTTATAGAAAGGGATCTGAGAACGGAGCTGGCTCTGCTGCCCTCTTTCGCTGCATTCAGTGGCCGGGGCGGACCTGAGCTGCAGCCTGCATAGAAAACCACAGTTCTAGGCAAAACCGCCGCCCACTGGAGTCCTCTCTGCAGAGCCCGTGGGCAGAGTTCAGAGAGGCGCCCCAGCTATAAAGGTCAAGACGCTGATGCTGCAGGAGTGTGCTGTGGGGAGAGGCGAGCAGTGTTGAGGCTTGAGTCGCCGGCGCTTCTGTTCTGTAGAAAGCCCTCGCATTGGCACCTTACGTGCTTTCTTAGGATTTTAATATGATCTGTAAAATGTTAGCAGGAAAACATGATCCAGAGTCACCGTACTTGGGGTATGGCTGAGCTGCCGCAGCAAAGAGAATAACGTGGAGGTTTACCAAGATGGAGGCGTTTCTTGGGTGCAGGCTGTCCAGGCAGGGCCTTGTCACCCTCCACACTGGCTTTTTCCACTTGGGGGCCAACGGGGCTGCTCTATGTCTTGCCCACTCTGAGCCAGCAGAAGGGGCAAAGGAATCAAAGCACGCCCTCGTGCACGTGGAACTCAGCGCCTGCATTCCTCCGCATTCCCAAAGGCTCAGTGTCGTGGCCGTACCTAGCGGCAAAGGAGGCTGGACAGCGCCACGGAAGGCGGGGAGCGTGGGCGCTCACGGTGGTGAGCTGGCTGCCACAGAAGTGGGGGAAGGCGGAGGTCAGCAGGAGGGTGGGCTTAGCCCCTGTTGTGCATTACCTCAACTTGGCCGAGTAAGTGCAGATAATTTAGAATCGATAGTATCTTCCTTTTGTTTGAGTAGGCAGCGCATTTCAGATTCAAAGTAATGTCATTCACAAAAGACAAAGGATATTCACTTTTGAGACAAATCTAGGTTTTTATCCTATCTCTAACTCCCTTCTCTAATTGCTACTAAAATTACTTTTATTTTTCTCCTTGTTTAACGGAATTTCTGAAGCCAGTACAAAATTTTGAGTTAAGTGTAATTTAAACACTAGAATACTTAATTATTAAACTAATTGCTTTCTCTCGGTACATTGATGTTTTCCACGTTTGCTCTTCGGTCCTAGGAGGGTGGTTTACATTCCGCCCTCCTTGAGCAAGGTGTCCACGCGCTCGCTTGCACTCACGGCCGTGTCTGTCTCCTGCAGGGCGCCCTTGCTAACTGTTCTCTGCTCCTGAGCTTTGTCCTTCTGCCCTCGTTCTTAAGTGGTAACTGCCCTTTCTGTCATTCCTCAAGATAAAGAACAATGACTTGAACCAAGCGATTCATGAGGAGCGCGAGGCCATCATCGAGCTGCGCGTGCAGCTCCGCCTGCTGCAGATGCAGCGGGCCAAGCCCGAGCAGCCGGCGCCAGAGGACAAGGAGCCGGAGCGGCGCGGCGGCGCGGCCCAGCTGCCCAGGGATGGCGTCCTCGAGGCCAAAGCAGCGAAAGAGCAGCCAAAGGCAGGCAAGGAGCAAGCAAAGCCGTCGCCAGGCAAGGACAGGAAGGAGACGCCCATCTGAGCAGCCTGGCGTGGTCGCCGTGGAGTCCTCTAGACTAGAGGGACCTGTGCATCTTACTGTAACCCGAGAGCCGGGCGCGGCTCTCCCGCTGTACATTCTGTAAAGACGTCTTCTCTTCCCAGAGACCCTCCTCTCACGCATCCGACCCCTCCATCAGGCTCAGGTCCCACGGGAGGTCGAAGCAGAGGGCGCTGCGGGCTGCTAGGGGGCAGATGAGTTTTCCGGATAGTGTCAGCTTATTCGAAGATTAATTTTCTTTGTTAAAATAACTGTTTTAACCCTTGAGTGGCTTCTTTTTAAACCAAAAATCGTCTTTCTTTGCTTTTTTAATCACGGCAGAATCAGGATCTCTTTCTCATTCAAGGGGGAACCCAGCCAGGTCAGTGCTGCGCCTGCCTGTGGCCGTCCGTGTCCTGCCCCCAGGACCTCTGCGGACCTGTCACTCTTGCTTGTGCCTTTCACACGTCTTCGGTGCAGATTACACAGCGGGGGAGCCGCCTCATGTGTCCTCACTGGCCAGAACGGCTCCTGCTGGGGCTCCCGTTACCCACCCACAGATCTCTGTTGACAGTTCCAAACCACAGGCCCTGAGCCCGAGTCACCAGGACGGCCTCGTTTGGTCACAGACAGAGGCTGCCTGTGGGGCCCACCCAGCCGCCGCGGGCGATGCAGGCCCCCCCTGCCGGCAGCTCACCGCCGCGGCCAGCAGAGGCTTCTCCCTGGGTGGGCGGGGAGGTGGCCGCCCCAATCTGGTGCACCCCCCACACACAGGGTGTGCCCCAACCAGACATCTGTCACACGACTGACCTTCCGTTAGAGACAGAATGACTCCGGTTGCTTGCTTGGGCTAGAATGTACACGTCTCCTTGCCTGCATAAGCCATACGTATGCTTTTAAACGGAAGTTCGAAACTGCCCACGTCGTCTCGGTGAACCTACCGGTGGACTCGCGACTGACGAGACTGAGCAACAGAAACAGATTCCTCTAATGACAGCTGCGGCTCCCCGCCCGCTCCCTGCTTCTAGGCCATAGATCAGGGGGTGCTCGGAGGCCGGGCTCCGGCGGCAACTCGGTCGCCGTCGGCTGTGTCAGAGCGAGTGGCGCCGTGAGACTGGCCAGGTCTCGTGGCTCAGACACACGGGCCGAAAACAACTCCGCACGAGGGCTCTGTCCTCCTCCTCGTTAGTATTTATTTTCAGCACCTGTTTGATGCGGTTTTTTATCCTCTACCTATTGCACTGTTGTGACTTGTTGGCCATTATTTGATTTTTGTACGAAGAAAAGCTTTGTTATAGAAATCAGCATACTATTTTTTTAAATCTGGAGAGAAGATATTCTGGTGACTGAAAGTACGGTCAGGTGTCGGACAAACCGTGTAAACGCCTTCCCGCTGTCCTGTCGGTCCTAGAGCGCTCACTTTACAGCTGCTGGCAATATCGGAGGTTCCTTTTTTGTTTGTGTAAACTCTAATTTCTATCAAGGTGTCATGGATTTTTAAAATTAGTATTTCATTACAAATGTCTCAGCGTTGGTTAATTAATTTTTGCCAGGACCATTATTGATCAAGCAAATAAATTCAACAGCCATTTGGGAAAAATAAAAGCTTCTAGTTTTTGTGTACATTCTTTGAAACAGTTGAGCACCCTTTGGCTGCTAAGGAGTTGGGTTGGGTTCTTCTTCAAGGCCAAGAGTGACCATGTGTTTTGGCTCGCTTTGCGTCCCGCCCCTCTGTGGACTTGAGCACTCCGGGTCCTAGTGTCTGTGCTGAGGCCACTGGAGCCACCTCCCACCCTTCCTAAAGCCCTGCTGCTGCCGCCTGGGCCTGGGCTTGGGTTTACCCGGTGAGCAGCTCCTGGGCCCCTTGGGAGCCAGCCCAGTCATGCCTGGCCCCAGGTGTCATACTTCACAGATATTTGCATTTCAAAAGTGAAATCAGGACTCAGCACAAGCCAACCATCATTACCATGTCTGGGATAGACTGGTCTAGAATAAAAATGAAGTTTCCATTTGCTTTTTTTACTTTAAAAATTCCACAATTAAAATATCTGTCATTTGAAGCTTAGATAAACATCGGGCTTCTCTTGTGTGCAGGGCGCCCCTGCAGTTGAATTCTGTAACGTTAGGCTTACGCAGTGGAGTTCTCCTTTAAGGGAGCTCTCACACGCCCTGGCGTAACTGCGCGTGGCTCTGGGGAGCAGCTGCCGTGACAGGAGCGCGTGCTTGCCTCGTACTTCTCGCTGCGGCTAATCATGACATGATTCCGCACCTGTAGGTAAGGTGCGCGTCTTCTCCGGGTGTTCTAGACTAGAGCTCAGGAGACCCAGGGAACCTGGGCGGGGGGAACAGGGAGACCCGTAAGTGACACACACAGGGCTCTCTGGCGGAGCAGTGAGTGTGCTGCTGTTACGTTCCTGGCCCCGCAAGCCTGCAAAATGATGGCTACTGACTGCAGTCTGGTGACTCTGTTGTCGCTAGACTAGCACGACTCTAAAGAGGGTATTCTATGCATAGTTTGGTAAAAATGGGAAGAGAACTAACTATTTGTCGTGAGCTCGAGTTTGTTTTCTGGGCTAACTCTTCGCTTCTGCTCAGACTTTCAGCCCCTGGCCAGTGTCATCTCCGCGATGTCTCCGAACTCCCTGCCCCAGCAGATGTCAGGCATCCGACCTCGGCTCCCACAGCGCTCAGTCCAGGCACCTGGCACAGCCGCAACCTGGCGTCGTGCCAGGCCTGCAGAGACGTGCCTTGATGGTGAAACGACCCCGTGAGAGAAAGGGCAGCCTTTACCGAGTCCCAGTTTACAAACTAAGATACCGCGCCCCAGAGGTGCGTCACTGTGTCCCAGGAGCTTCAGGACAGAGCCCCGCTGTGGGTCTGCAGCGGGGGTGGCCGGAGCTGCGGCAGCGAGGTGCTCGCCTGCCCCTGGGGGCTGCAGGCAGGGGCTCGAGGAGTGCCCAGGACACCCCTGCCAAGGGCAAACCGGACCCAGAGGACATAAAGGCAGATTTCAAAGAAACGACTAAACTAGTTTTAAAAGACAAATATTTTAATCTAGTTTCCCCATTTTATACTAAATCATTAATACAGGTCACAAATTGCATTTATTTGTAGACATCTAGAAAACAATCGGAAGTGTATATATCTCTCTCTATATAGATATTAATAAATTTTATTTGGACAAGAGAACTTGTGCCACAACAGTTTTAAACAGCATGATTAGACTGCAGCACTCCCGAGAGTGGTCACAGGTATGTACAGTATGTGAAGAAAAAGTTGCACCTCAGAGCTGATCATGATCAAGTTAGAAACACCTGACATACAGTATACGTGCCAATAAATTTCCTTCGGCTCATGACCAGCATGAAAAAAATCAGGACATAGATACTCAGCAAATGTTCTGTAAATGTGTACAGCAATATGCTGCATTTAAGAGTTAAAATCAGATTCTACTTTAGTGTTAGCATCAAGCCCTTAGGAGAAATCCAAAAAAATCTCCTTTCCCATTTACACATGTCAGAAACTATTCACACCTCGGGCCGGGCTGGCAGCTGGCCACAGAGCCCAACAGGTCCTTGTGCCTGGGAGAAAACAGTTAGGGCTAATACTGAAGGTCTCTTTCACGTCCGGGTGCACATCTGCCTTCTGGCTGTAAGAATTCCATCTATCAGCTGTTAAACAAAACCAGGAGAAAGCAGTGCGGGTCTCTGGGAATCCTGTCCCTTCCGTAAGGAAAATGCTCTGCCAATTCAAGTTTCATTCAGTCAGGAAGACAGAAGGATTTAAGGCTTCGGTGACAATTAGAATCCTCTGAGAAATTATTTTCCCTTAAAGTCAAGATAAGATAATAGTGTTTACTGTACTTTCTCTTGACTCTCAAAATCCCTGGTATCGGGTTAGGCAACTTGCACCTGCAAATAAATCTGCAAGAGAGGACGGTCTCTGCTCCCAACCCACCACCCAGATCACACGCGTGCGGAGCACTCGTGGAGCCTCGGCTCTCGTGGAAGAGGGGAAGACACCGAGGCTCAAGCCTTCTAGTACGTCGAGGAAGCTGTACTCATGGCATCTTCGGAGATTTTGGTACTGGCGGGGAGGATGCTTGCAAAGTACTTGACGTCGCTGTCACGATCCATCTGAAGAGCCATGATGGTCTGTTCCACGGCTTCCTGATGACAGCTGGCCGAGGCTAGGAAATACTCTGGAAATGACAAATGCACAGTATGAATGAAACTGGTCTAACGATTCAGAGTTTTGTCAAATACAAGTATAATTAGCTACATTATAAAACATGATTTTTATAAGAGTATAAACAAATGCCATGTTCAATTATAAACAGTAATCCAACTGATTTGTTATAGGAAAAAATATCCTGGAATAAAGAGAATTATGAGATTTATCTTGTTTTTATGATAATCTCATGATATTCAATGATAGCTAAGGAGTATTAAACTAATATATTACAACATTATACTTCTTAGCTATTAATCAGCTTAGTAAAAGGAAAAACACTTCCAAACACCAGCTACATACAACATACAACCCCCAAACCAAATAAGTCTCTTTAGCCATTTCACTTTAATTGCTATTTTAAAAATTTACATGAATGGCAAAGGAGCAAAAAAGAATATTCATTCACCCTTATTCTTTGAAACCTACTAGAAACTTCTGTGCTTCACTCATGAGTTCATGCATTCAACTGTATTTATGAGGCATTTGGGGGGTGGTTACAATAAAGAAAACATCCTGAATCTTGAGGGGTTTATAATTTCCAGAAAAACAGATACTACAGGGCATGTGTCTTCCGCCTACTGAAGGAAGAGGAGGGAAAGCACGCAGCTCCCGGCCCCGCACAGCAGTGCCAGACAGCGGGGGTGCTGCCAAGGCCATGGTTCCCACGGTCATAGGTGAATTTAAATACCCAATTTAAATTTAAAAAATTATTATATTTTAAATTATAAAAATGATATATGCCCATGATAAAAATATTTCTACAGTACGGCGCTAATTTAAAGTTTCTTCAATCTCCTGTCCTCTTGGGAGAACCACCAGAACAACTTAAAATGCGTCATTCTAGCAGATCGTTTTCTGTGAACCTACGCTACTTCCGCTGCGACACTTTCGACCCCATACAGTGCCCGAGCCCCTCTCCACACACGCTTCCTGGTAGAGTCGCCCACCTACCTTTTTCTAGCAGAGTCTGCCTCAATGTTTTTGCAAGCAGCACTCTCACGTTCGGGACCCTGTCGTTTGCTAAGGTTAGCAGATGTGGCATCAGATGCACAGCGAACTGGTCCATGGGAAGACAGTCATCTTCAATGACGGTCTGGGGACAAGGAATAACTGCTTTAGATTTCTCTGCCAATTCAGCTACCAAACTGTCATACTAGCTAACAAATTGTTTTGTTGCAACTTAACGGGTATTTTCGTTTTGGCTTTTTAACGAATATTCCAGGTACTTGGGAACTCAAAACAATTACACGCAGGTTTTTAAACTGCTCTACAGAGACCTGGAGTGTTCAGCTGGAACTTCACTTTCGCACTTGCACTCTGAGCCCAGACACGAGCACCCTCTAGTAGGAGCCAGGCTGCAGGGTATGTATGTATGGTGTGTGTGTGGTACATGTGTGTATGTACACATGGATGCTACGTGTGTGGCACGTGGACATACGCACAGATGGTAGTACGTGCCAGCTATAGAATGAGCTCGGCTGACTGTAGGAGAAAGGCCAGTTCAAGGGCCAGACAGATGCCCAATAGTGACACACAGACGATCCTAAAAATAGCCAGATGGAGGTAAAGTTCTGTTCCTTGAGGATGAGGAAGAGGGCGTGACAGAGGCAGGAGGTGAGAGAAGAAACACAGCTCTAGGAGGAAAACCTCCACGGATGGAGGAAGCACAGGTCCTCACTTACCTGGCAGACAAAGACAAAGGCCTGCCGACCAGACCACTTGGGACATCTGCCGAAGTTCTCGACAAGCTCGTTGATAAGGTCCACCCCAAACGTCGGCGGTGTGGCCGTGTGCAGCTTCTTCACCATCTCGCTGACCTAGGAGGGGAGCAGGGGAAGTGAGGAATAGCTTCTGTTCTAGAATCTTACAAAACAGTTTGCTGACCTGCAATTTTAAAAGTTTAATACATACCAACTTGTAGGAAATCCAACGAACAGAAGAAACTTTGTCTGCACACAGATTCAGAGCAATGGGACGTAAATAGTCATAAACATCTCTGGGACTATATAACTCTAGAAGTAAAATCAGCTGTCTACAAAAAGGAATTACAAAAAGACAAGTTTAAAAATCAGTAAGGCAAATGAAAATAGGTTCATCGTCTGAATGGTGTTTAACACTGGATACCGAATACCTGTGCGACAAACGCACGCAAGAGCATGATTGCGCAGGCGTCTCCGGCACAGAGTCCCCTCTAGTCTCTGTATCAGGAAATGCATTTAAACACTGCAAGTTCAAGGAGTCCTTCCCCGCCTTAGAGTGTCGGGAAAACAAAAGCTGTAGAATTCTGTGTCCACAGGGACTGAGACAGAGCAAAGCATTTCCTAGTATGTTCAGTTGGAACATAGCACACAGTTTTCCTCAGTAACG